CCCAAGAACCTTGTTACGTTCTGGGGTGCCGGGGAGCCTCTTTGTGCTAGGTTTTGGTACGGTGCCTAGCACAACGAAGCCTGAACGACGACTGGGGTCCTAAGGCTGAACTACAGTACAAATAAATAATATTAATGAAAAACAATCACTCGCACTAGAAGACTTGCCTGACTAGGTTTAGCGAGAACTTTTGGGATTACCTTCCTCATGAGAAAAATTCAGCTCCTTGATAGTCACACAGAAAATAAGTCTCCATCCCTGGAAGATAAGGGGCTGTGACAGGGTAGCAGCTGGTGTGATAAGGTGGGCAACCAAAATGGAAAGGTGAGCTGAGCTCGCTGACGGTTTCTGCTCTGGGAAGCGGCATGAACCGTGTGCCTTTTTGCCTTCTCTCTCCCTCCTCATGGTCTCTGGATCCAGACCCCAGCAGCCAGCGTGGGAGATGATGTTTTGGACTGGACTTGGCTTCACAAGTCTCAGAACTGCCCTTAGGGCCCTTCCGAACACAGGGGAGAGGCAAGAGCCAGGGAGGTGGCTGGAAGGATGGAAAGGTGCAGTGGCGTTATTTACACACAAACCAACGTAGTCATTTTAAAGGAAACCTGCCTTCCCAACAGATGACCCTGTGACTAGAGAGGATTATGGGTTTGTGCTGGAGAGAGCCAACAACTGCAAGATGCTACCGCTAACCAAAAAAAGAAGCACAGAAACTCAGAGTCCTAATACCACGTCTGGATCACACTCTGGAAGCCTCCTCTTCCCCTTCTCCCTCTTTTCTCATCCCCACAGCTTTTAACACCAAGAAAGGTTCACATTTAGACATGGGTTTTGGCCGTTGTGGGAAGCACATGGTTTCCGAGAGCCCCATCTCTGCTCTAGCTGAGCCTCCTCTGGGTTTGAGACAGCAGGTCTGTGTAAATTTTGGATCTCAGGAACCTGGGGTAAGAGTCTTTCTCCATCAGGCTGTGCACCTTCCCCTGGGCTTGGTCAAAGCAAGAGAGGGAGGGCTCCTGCATATTTCTTCTTGTCAGTTCCCGTGTCTGGAAGTCTATGTTCACCTGGGAAAAGTATCAGAAGAGAGTTTGGTACTGAGTGACCAGTTGGCCTGCTTCATATGGCACATTTCGTTTCAGCCGTGGCTGTAAAAGCAAGCAGCAGACCCAAGATCCTACCCTCGTCCATCCATAAACAGCCCCCCAAACTCTGCAGGGTTTAGTGATCCAGCGTTACGAATCCTGCCCCAAATTTGGAAAAGTTGAACTAGATTTATAGTGATCTGAGCAGTTCGGAAATCAAACTGCTTTTATTCAGGCTCTTAAGCAGGGTTTACGTAGCACATCTTCTAAAAATGCTGACTCAGCTTAACTGCTCTCCTGTCGACCAAGGTTTCCCTAGCCTCTTTACTCTTCACTACATGCTCAATATAAGGGTGAATGAACTTTTAGCTGGGTTTAAACTGTTAGTACATTCTTATTAAATGTTTTTAAACTCTGTTGCTATAAAATAAATTGTTTGATTTTTCCCACAACAGCTTTGTGTTACAATATCTGGAGAAGGAACTTGAAAAAATAAACCACCCTTATGTTATGACTGCCGTTTGTTTGCAAAAAGAACAACGTGAGTTTTCCTGTTTTCTTTAAAAGTCAGCGTTTGTTAGGGTTATTGTTTAAAACCTGGCTGAAAAGATGTTATTTGTTGTTACTAACCCAGTGTCCAAACTTACAGGAGTCTAGAAAGTAAGGCTGTCTGCCTTAACTCAGATGACAGCAATATAGATTAGCTCTCTGTGTCACTTAAGGGTCATTTCACATTCTGGCGTACCAAAATTACGACAACAGGACCAAATTTTAGGAAAGACCGCATCCAATCTGCGCTCACAGTTCTAATCCAGATTCAGCCCTGCAGTCCTGAAAATCTCATCCAGCTTCACGAATAACAGCAGGAAGATGCTCACTGAGGGTGATGGGGATTGAAGCACGTCCCAAGCTGCCCGCACCCCTTGGTATAAATCTGGGTGCTTCTCAGTGGCCTCGCAATAGCCTTCCTAGTTCAGAGATGGAGTAAAGAGAGCCCTTTGAGGGGGATCCCCTCGCAGGCACCTGTATCGTGACAAGCACCCATGCCATCTAGCAGGAGGACCTCCATGGGAGAGCAGGTGCGGTAAGCACCCTCCTGGTTGTGTTAGAAATACAATAACACAACCCAACATCACAACACAGGATCTGACAGTCGCATCAACCTGTCAGCACGTGAAAGAGGACTTAATTCCAGGCTCCAGGTTGTGACTGCACTTTTTGTTCAGCTCTGAGTTATTGCTCGCATCTTTTAGGAGGTCTAATTGAGTTAGGAGTTAGTCAGCAGATAAACACTCCTCCCTGGAGAGTCAACAAGTTAGTCATTCGTGGGATGCTTCTATACAAAATGTCCTGCAAGAAATGAGCTAAATAGCCTGCTCAGGAATTGATAGTAAATGAGAAGAGCAAGGTGATGTACTCCTCGGAAGCTCATAGAGGTTAGGAAATGTAGGTTGTGTTTGCCAATGAACTCACTGGCTATGACTAATTTAGTACCGTCAAAGTAGTTGCCCTCACCAGGGACTGAGTCACCATGAGCAGAGGCAGCTGGAGCAGGCAGGATGGCATTCCCATCCTCCTTATCCACTCCTCACCATCACCTCCGGGAGGGGAGGGAGGGGTCCCCGACCCCCCATCACCCCGCAGGTCCCAACGGGCGGAGATGGACCTGCTCCCTGTGCCGCAGGGATGCTCTGTCTGCCCGGGGTGCTGGCATACCCACCTCTCGAGGAGCCTGCACATCGATGAACTCCTCGAAGATCCGCTGAGCCTTGGAGGCCAGCTTGGCTGCCGAGCGGGTTTTCTTGAAGTCCTCGCAGGCAAGCCAGAACTCCAGGTTTTCCTCACTGAACTCTGTCTTCAGGAAAGCACGGAAAGCGGCCAGCCCATCTGCAAGAGAGACGCGGGGAGTTACAACAGGAGGAGTAAGAGGGTAGGGAGCAGTCTCTTTAACAGACAGCCTTCCATCCACCCCTGCCTACCAAAGAGCATTTGATTTTTCTCCCAAGGTCTGCTATCCCAGGATGTGTCCATAACTTACACCATCGCATCGGCTGGACTCTCGTAAGATGCCACAAAGCCAAACAACATTTGCCGTTGCTCTGAAAAAGTGTTTTGCCAGCAAATGTGGCAAAAGGTTTTCTTCAGGATTGGGGCACCTAACCTTTGAAAATTCCTCTTGAAAACATCGAGCTTCAACGATACAGTCTCTTTGCCACAGCCTCTTGCGCTTGTTAATGCAACACTTTGGAATGTCCTGTCTGTCATTAAGAAAAACCTTTAATAAACCTTAGTGTCTGTAGACTTGTCTCCTATGTTTTCTGTCACTTTGCTTTATTGCCTTGTGACATATTTTTAGTTCTTATTTAAACAGAGGAAGGATCTCGGAGAGTCTAACTGTTACAGCTACAATAAAGGGGAAAGGGAAAGGACGCGGCGTAATTACTGCTTGTCTAGTCGGTGGTAAAAGTGTTCTTATCACTTGTTAATGCTTAGCAATTGTGACATTTCAGTAATGTAATTTGAGTCAGCCGGGGCAGCTTAGAAATATGGAAAGATTTATTAGGCAATCTGTGTCCTCTTAAACCCCTGCCTGGGCATATTTATGGACACAGCTATTGTGTTTTATTTCCTTTCCCTGAATGGCACCAGCAGAGCTGAAGTAGCTGGAGGTTTCACACATGCCCTTTCTTCTTCGTTTAGCCTTGGGATAAATTTGGCTCCTAATTTATTTTTTTTTTTCCAGTAACATGTTTCTAACTTTTCCTGGTCTTTTTCTATAGGATCTGAGTATTTGTAGTTCATGACTGGAAACCTCCTGAATAAGCACTGGCTACTTCCAAGCAAGCGTCTAAAAATATCGATGGAATCAGGAATGCACTGGGCAAGGTCAGACTCCCAGAAAGGATGAGAAGAGCAAGTGCACATGTGCCTGGCAGGGATGGACAAAGACTGGTGAGGGTTTGTAGGACCTGAACTCCTGCAATGCTGTGGGTTGGGGGTTCCACTTGCCCCTTTGTGCTGTGGGAGATCTCGGCAGTGCTGCCTTCCCTCCTTCCTCCTGTGGCAGGGGGTGTGGGAGCTGGGACGGAGCCCACGGGGAGATGCCTGATGGTTGGCGTGGGTCATTTCACATGTCCACAGCAAGCCCAAGCCCATCAGGGACAGGGGCTGGCCATGTCACAGGATCCACCACAAACTCCCTTACAGCTTTGTCCTTGTTTTCTTGCCTGCACCAGGTACACGAGGAGAAGCAGCAATGTAACACTGCCCTTTTTCTTCCTTGTGCATCCTAATCTTATTCCTGCTTCTCTTGTTTCTGGTAATAACTTAGGACACGGAGATATTTTTCAGTTCTAAGTCCTGAGCCTAAAGCCCTAAGAAATGGCTCCAGGTCTTGAATAGCAACTAACAATCCTATTTCTGGCTGCGCGTAAGTCAGCGGAGATGTCTGACTGCCCAGATTCTCAAAGGGAGAGGCAGAAATGCCATTAGGCCAGACAGGACTAATACAGACAGAGGCTAAATGTCTCCGCTCTAGGTTTCTCAAAGCTCCTTCACGGGCTCTGCACTGCTAACTGCTCCATCAGCAGTCTGCCTTGCAAAGAGCACAGCAATCGGCAACTACAACGGGTACGTCCCGTCTCGGCTACGCTTGCTTCTCCCGTCAGCCCTAGGAGGGTGAGAAATAGCTGTATCATACCAACTCGTCCGTCCTGCCACTTCTTAATTAATGCACTTTTAGGAGAAGATCGGGATTTTGGACCGTTACCGTGGACAAAACGAGGGCTCTCGTCCGTGATCACTGCAGAGCAATTAACAGTGCAAATTGTGGGTTCAAGCCTGCAGCAATAATGTGACATTCGCCCTGGAGATGCCTGCAGAGCTGACAGTGCCAAAGGCATCTCCAGGAGCAGGGTACCTGTCAGGATCATGCTGCCCGCGGCTGCTTTGAGCCTTTCCATGGGTAGATAAATGTGGTGAATGAGAGACACATTTTAGGGCATCCCTTCCTGAAATCTAGGAGGCAGAAAAATTTTTCAAAACTTGTGTCCCCCTTAATGCCTATAAAATTCACAGAGCCCATGTGGGAGCAAGGGGAGGACTTGAGAATACTGCAGGGAGTCTTTGCAGGAGGAAAAGGAGAGGACACGACAGCAGGCTGACAGGTTTCAGAAAGAAGAAAGTACAAAAGGGAGAAAGCAGCAGTTCCCCGAGATGTATGTCATTTTGTATATCATCAGTTCCTAGGACGTTTGACGTTAAATATTCCAGCACCCAAGAACGCTGCTATGACTATACAGTCTCTGCTGTGTGTCCCTGCAGAAGTCTTGCTCCCCTTTCTCTACCTTGGTCTTTTTTTCCTCCGCTTTCCTTTACAACAGCCCTAGCACTGACAGAGGATCACTTGCAGAAATAGCAGCTTTGCGTGGCAAATATAGTATCTGCAAAATGTAATATCTGCTAAAAGAAGGGGATGTCATGATTGATGAGGTGAGAAAGGCGTTTGGTTCAGCCCTGCACCGGAGAGCAGCCGTAGCAGGTCCCTTCTGGGACCAGGAGGTTTCCATATGCTCTGCCTCCTGCTCTCAACGTCAGTCAGCTCCTTTTTATCTTGGAAGTAAGTTTAGACAGCGGACAGACAAATAATAGCGTCTGGCTGTTCTCCACTTCCTTGTATATTCCTGTCGTGCCCTCCTTGCAGCCTTTGAGGAGCTGGAAGTGATGAGACTGGACCTGGGAGGACCTTGCAGAGGAGGCCCTGGATGCAGGAGAGGCCATCCTTGACTCCAGGCTGCCTGGCTCTCCCCAAATTTCATCTTTCGCCTTTGACTGCCTGCCAGCATTTACAGCTGCGCCTGGCAGCCAGAGTTTAGAGATGTGAGCCCAGCTGACTGCGCAGTAGTAAATCACTGCCCACAAGTTTATCATGGAACAATGACAACTCTGATTGAAAGGGCAAGAGGGCAATTAGGTATGGGGACTGCCACCACCGGAGCTGGAATTTGCCCTGGATGTTGACTTTAATCTCCTCCTGTACATGACAGCTACCAAGGAAGCATTGCTCATGAAGGATCAGCATGTCAAAGCTCATCCCACCTAACCGGACAGCTTTTTTTGCTGGGGCAACCAGCATTGGATGGCAGTCTGGTACAAGCAGGAAAGCATCACCTACTGATTCAGCCTCCTGAAATATCCTGGAAGGTGTTGGAGCACCTGAGAAGTGCAATTCCAAAGGGGTGCTTTACAGAAAAAGCACGGAAATGAAAAGCAGGATAAGAAGTCTTCAGTTGTAGCAGCACAAGATATCCATAAAATGTGTAGCCTAAAGGCATGGCCTTGAAGAAAAGAAATGTACTGGTATAGATGCATGGCCCTTCAAGACAACTGTTGGACACTTATTCAGGAATTTGACTCAAGAGCAGTGAGTCTTGCTTGAACCCAAAGGAGCGAATCAGTACTGACGGAGCAGAGAGGATGAAGGTAAAGAAGTGGAGCTCTTCTACTGAGTCTCAAGAGCCTGAAAGAGGAGCAGAAGACGTTTGCTTTTTACTTTTGTAGTGTAAACGTTCAATGCTCTCTGTTCAAATAGACCAAGGGAACATACAAGAGGATTGTCAGGAAAGATTGTGCAAGTACTTGTACATGACCCCATCCCAAGATCTTGGGGTGCACCGTACAGCTATAACCTGCAGGTGACCTGGGAATTAGATGGACAATGACAAGAATTTGTGTTTTCTAGATGGGGACTTGCCAGGCAGATCAGTGACTATGTGAAGATAGGGACTCAGATGGTCCTGACATCCCATGTCGAATGTTCTTCAGGCCATGGATAGTGGATCCTTTCCAGCAAGGAGGAAGGGACTGAACTGGCTAGCACAAAACACAGCACAGGTCTTAACTACGGCAAGCTTCAGCAACATGAGGAAGAGCCGAGATTAGTGGTTTAAATCATTCGGGTAGACAGCTTAATAACCAAGCATTAGCCACTGTCAGAGTAAGAAAGCGATCAACAATCATTTATTTATTACACGCATTTCACACCATCGGTGCAATCAGCACTTCACCTGGGGAATAAAGGTAGAGTCCTTATGGCTGTAGATGAATGGATCAGCTCTATGGAGCATGTTGGGTCCAGGGCTGAAGAGACAAGGCCACAATGGTCCGTACAGCATATGTACATGCTCTCACTGCTGCTTAGCATCGCTTCATTGAATGTTAGCTGCCTGTCACCAGCACAATGCTAATGCTAATGCTGTTCTGGCTTAGAAAGAACTAGGAGTAGGCTGGGATATTCCTGTGCTGTGTAGGAAGAGGAGCAATGTGTAGACAACAGAAGGAGGAGGACAACAATAAAGTTTGGGCAGAAGAGCACAGAGATCACAAAAAATGGTGGAGGGGAGAAAAACCAACAACAACAAAAAAATTATCCTTGAGATAAAAATGGAAATTCAGCACAAAGGTTTTCTGCATTGGATGCTTCGTTGAAAAGTGACTAAGGGCTGAGGACAGACTGTCCTGCTGGATTCTGGACAAATGACAAGCCGTGTGTCCAGCCCCGCGAGGGATGCAGAATGAGACATGCCATTGCTTGTATTTCCCTCCAGCAGCCTGTCAAAAGAAATCTCCATCTGGCTGACCAGCCTGTACCTCCTGGGCATGGGTACAGAGGGGGGATTACTCCTCAGTTACTCGCATGCAGACACACTCTGCAGACCACACTGAGCTCCACTTCCCTGGGAGCCATTGCTAATCCGCACTGGCATAAAATGGGAAGAGACACCAAAATCTACCATGTTAAAACCACTGCTTGTGCTCCCCGAGCACCCAAGGAAGCATGCTACATGCGATCTGTCTCTGACTCTCTCTCAATTCCTTGGCAAAAGTAGCATCGAACTCCTCTCTCCTGTTGCTTGCCACGTTCAGAAGCCCTGACCCAAGGGAACACCGCTACGCTGTGCTGGCGTCTCTTGCAGCGGGCTCAGACAAGGCTCCTGCTGATCAACTGGCTGACCCTATGGTTTCAAGTTGATTTGCTTCACTCGTTAGCAAAACCAAGCGGGATATCATTGCATTGACCTATTCGTCTGGGGCTGGCAATGAAACGGGGCTGAGCTGAGTTCTGCTGTTCAGCACTGGTTACTCTACAAGGGCTAGGCTGAGGGATGCTCAAGTCCCACTGCCAGTGCAAAAGGAAGGTGGGGGTGTGACAGAGAGTGCCCTTCTGCCTTTCCTACTCACGGTCTCTTGCTAATGTCAACACAAATTGTTCTTTAAAGGACCAGGGAATTAATCCAAATCAGACCACTCTGTACAGAGGGGAATTGCCCAGCCTGCGAATCTCTGGAGACACACAACTGCTTCAAAACCCAGGGTTTTTCAGTCCTCCACTCAAGATGCTGCCAGAAATAGCATGTCAGGATCAAACACTACCTACAAAGGCCATTCATTAACACAGGGGAGAGGGAAGGGGGGGGTCCGCAGGGCCTTCACGCTTCTAGGGATATTTGACAAAAATGAACATAATGACGCTCTCCGTAGAGTCTGTATAATGTACGATACCTGTTCAGGTCACTTCCATTTAGAAACCTTTTGGAGACTCATGAAGATAGGACGCGGAAGAGTACAAGTTGTTTGCCTTTCCCATAAAGAGTACTGCAGCCCTGCGAGCCTCCTCCGTGTACGAGGGCAGCCTGCTCACCTTGGCATTTCAGAGAATCCTTTAGGGAGCTCTGATCCATTTTCTTGTTCCTTGGAGCTCTCTTTTGCATCTCTCCAACCCCTTGCACTACTACCCACAAAGACTGCCCTGTTTTCAGCTGCTACATCCAGCCCCTGAGCCCTACTTGAGCACTCTGTTGGGTTTGGGTTTGGTTTTTTTCCCCCCAAAAAAGAATAGGTTGGCTGGAAGGGACCCAAAACCACCGTAACATCTGACCGCAGCTGCAAGCGCCACTCAACCCCCTGAAATCGGCATCACAATCTCCCTTCCAAAACAGATGAACTGTCCATCTAGCAAAGAAAGAGTTTATGACAGATGTGTCAAGCAGAACTGATCTACCTGCTGATGCCGTGAGCCCCAGGGGAAATTCTCCCTGAGCCCAGCTGGTGCTTATCCATGCCCCCAAGCATGAATTCAAATTTTCCCTGGCTGATATTGTTCACCTGGGCAATCACAGAGAAATTAGACTGAGACAGTTCTGTCTTCCTCTCGGCACTAAAAGTAGAATATTAGCTGGCAGGTTCGCTACAGACAGACGCAGGCAGGCCTGGCACCGCTTTTCTTACTCTCAAATTTTGGTCAGGTAAGGCACAAGACTCCTTTACCTGTCTAACAGCAGCACATTTCTAACAGCAAAAATGCAGCTCTCTTTTGTTCTCCTTTCGTAGCAGATTTTTGGCAATTCTGGATTTTGGATACAAGTACACATAAGCAAAACCACAATGATTTCACAATATAATTCCTTTTATGGATATACGCTTTTCTCTCCTTTAAAACCAGTGTTAACTAAAATAACACTTCTGTTTTCAACAGAGCTTTTTGTATTTGCATCATGATAACCCTTGACTGCCAGGCTAGCAATTCCAGAAACTTCAGGTGCAGAGCACTTGTAATATATTCCTTTAGAAAGTAGTTTATTAAGCAACAAATTATTTTTTTTGTCACCGATCACCAGGCAATGTCACCATGACTGCTGATAAAAAAATATTCATTTAAATTTTAAAGATCACCTTCAGTTGCTATTAGGAACTGAATATTTTTCATTAGGTGTCAGAGAGTTATCAGGATCACTTTCTCTTCTAGAGACAGGAAAAATTCTGATAATTCATTTATCACTCTATAAGGCTAATTTATTAATAAAACCAGACACTCTTGTGGAGCCTGGTGGACGAAATAATTGAACTAAGGTTTGATTTAGCATTCGCAGCAGTCAACTGAAGAGGGAACAGTCTGTATAATGTCAGTACATAGATGCGTAAATTCACTGGCTTTTGTAACCAAAGCACTTTTGCTGCAGTCTGTATCTAATAAGGAAAATTTTGACTTCTGAACTGGTGAAGGAGAAACAGGGGTTGGGGTAAAGAATTGTAACACTGCTCTGAACGTCCTGTCCTCCCCCCCGCCCCCCGGCCCCCAGGCACCTTATAGTCTCTTTGGTGCATTTTTCCTTTCTTGTCTGAAATTTCCACAAAAGAAATGTTCCCTCTTAGACATGCCCAGCTACACCACATATATATATATTTTTTTCTGCTGGCTGCAAGAGCAATGATCTCAACAAGATACTGCTGCTAAAATTATATACTGCTTTTTCTGCCTTGGACAGCCAGCCTGTTTAAAGTTGTCACTTAATTCCCTGCCAAAACTGTTGTCATCTCAGTAGAAATCCAGCAAAATTACACTTTAGGTAAAATAATAATATAATTCTACACTTACATTTTAAAATATATACGCCTATATTTTTAAATATAAGTGCAGAAAAATCTGAATCCCTAGGAGAGCCAGGCGGTTCCTTATTGCAATAAAATAGTTCAACACCCACATTGACTTTTCCCCAACTTTGACTCCTTGTTCTATTCTCCAACAGAAACACATTAATGAACCTATACTGTGAACTTCACTATCTTGTTTATAATTTCTCAGCACGAAAACGTCGGTGAAGCAGAATAATATTTCCCAAACAGAACTGCTACGACTGAATGGAGCGAGGTGCGCTGATAATACGTTTGCACAAGGTTTCTAGATGTGAAATGTTCAGGTTTGCATTGGTAACTGTAAGTTAGATTCTGCTGAGGGCCACCACGCGTGGTTTCCCTGCGACGGAGCAAGGTGTTCAAGGTTACCGAACGGCGTAGGCTGGCGCAGCACGCCCCGCAAAGGCTGCC